TCCTCCTTCTTCTCCTCCTCCTCCTCCTCCTCCTCCTCCTCCTCCTCCTTCTCCTCCTCCTCCTCCTCCTCCTCCTCCTCCTCCTCCTCCTCCTTCAGTTCTCATTACTGTGTTCATTATGTCTCCTTTGTTTAATTCCCACTACTATACCTTAACCCAACAGTCCCGTATTTATGTTCTGTCCCCTATAGTTTTTTGTAAATATTGTTACATACAGATGGCCCCACATGTGCTCAGCTGGCAAGGAGTCTATCAGTAGTCTTAGTGATCGATCCCGATCCTTGATAACATTTAAGACAATGAAATAATGTAAAAGACCCTTTCCAAAAGTCGAGGAAAAGGGTAAGCAGGTGAGATAGGTAGGACTATAAACCGACTCCTTGGTGACTAAGCACATGTAGAGCCAACTATGTGTAAATACAATAAATAAACTTGTATTACATTGGCATCTATTCTTGCCATACATGCTGATTGGGTTAAGTTCCCACCACAGTATGTTATACCACATATTACCGTCATCAATATTCATGTGACTTCATATTCCCTTACAGAGAGCAACAGCGTGAGTTGAGTTCATGGCACCCACGGGACAAAAGACTTGAGGAAGGGAGAGTCAATGGCCCAGAGCAGCGGTTACTCCTCGTTCCACCCCCAGCCTGGCCAAGCCCCTTTCCCAGTCGGACTCTCATGGGGGGAGCGTTAGGGAGCAAGAAAAAGGAGTATTCGGAGAGGCGCATCCTTGGGTGAGTTCATTCTAGGGAGAGGATGCTGATTTTTGTTATTATAATATTGTTTACAGTTATATAAAATGATATGGAATAGGGAAAGTAAACATGATGTTTTTTTGCTTGATTTTGATTTTGCTTTAAATCAAATCCATTATCATTGTTTACAGTCCAGTCTTCATCAGCAAAATAAGAAGCTAATGTTTCAGGGACAGTAAAATAGATGGTCACTTTGGGAATACACTGGTTACTTTATTCTTAGTAGGTGAAAGAAGGATCTATATCAGTAACTATATAGTGGAGGTCCAACTCATCTGTTTGATTTTACTGAGCCACAAAGGTAGTTTAATTCTGGGTTTTATGTCACTGTGAGAGAGTGGAATATAATCAGAGGAAAAGGAGAAGATGAAAACTAATGTTGAAAATTATTGTAATTAATTATAGCCCCCAGTATTATGAATAGGCCTACTTTAAGCAGAGAGGCATCAATATCATTTAAGTATGCCAAGTTAATGGTGCTGCTTAGAAATGGTGTAAACCATAAGCAAATTAATGTAATGGATTAAGTGAGAACATTGTCTATCAGAACTTATTTTCATATATGTCTTTTTTTTCTTTCTTTCTTTCTTTGTTTCTTGTTCTGAAATTAACCCATTGCCGACAGGGAAAATTATTTAAAAAATAGGGAAAATGCTGTGCTCATTTTTTATATTTTTTTTGTGAAATGTCTCCACACATAGATGGCTCTGTCTTACCTGATTTCACCTTTCCTTGAATTGGCGGGAAAATGTATTTTTTACGAGTGCTGTTAACCCATTGCTGCCGGGGATGGCATGTACGTATATGCCATGCCCACTGTGAGTCGACTTGTTTGATTGTTTTTACACATAGATCGCTACACTTGTACTAGTCACCAAGGAGCCAATTACAAGTACTGTCTGTCTCGCCTGTTCACCCTTTTCATCCATTTACGAAAATATTTAATGTTATCCTAATTTGCTGTTAAAAATAACACCATCTATATTTATAGCACTAGTAAGAATACGTTTTTTCCCACCAATTCAAGGAAAGGTGAAATCAGACTAACAGAGCCATCTATGTACAGAGATATTTCACAAAAATATAAAAGATGAGTACAGTATTTTCCCCATTTTTAGTTCATTTTCCCCTGCAGCAATGGGTTAATATTGATGGTGTTATTTTTATTATAAACATTATAATTACTATAATGTCATAAACATTAATAATAGCAAAATAAGATAACGTAAAATATTTTCAAAAATTAAAGAAAAGGGTGAACAGGCGAGACAGGCAGTACTCGTAATTAGCTCATTGGTGGCTTAGTACAATCTATGTGTAAAAAAAATAAAATAAGTAATCTCACAGTGGGCATGGCATGGCATGCCCATCAGCAGTGGGTTAATACCAAAAATCCCACTATGGGAAAGGTTGAATTGTCTTTCACTACAGGAATGATGGGGAAAAAAGGAAGAAGAGAAGTGAATATGATGTTTTTTGTTTGAGGGTGGGTGGGTAGGAAGGTTGGTTGGTTGGTTGGTAGGTTGTATGTAGGTAGGGAGGGCTGGAAGTAGATTATTTGGGTGTATGTAGATTAGATTAGAAATATGTCTTCCTCTTATTTCAAGATAGTCTTGTTTAAATTATATTCTGCTATTAATTGCTATTGCCTTTGATTTCTTGCAGATATTCTATGAATCAAATGTATGATGTGGTGTCAGAGGTTGAAAGCTACCACAAATTTGTTCCTTACTGCAAGAAGTCGGACGTGAAGTTGCGTCGGCCTGGATTTCTAAAGGTGAACGTCAGATAGTCTTGTAGTTTTGGATCAGAAAGAGAGAGGAAGTTTTTTTTGTACATTCTCAATGCAGCTCAGTATGATAATTTTTCTGATAATTTTTCCATTGTGCGCCCACCCTGCATGTTTGTGAGCCACAGAACTATTCCACCTTTTATGGTCTAATGATATACATTTTATTATATGTATAATTATCTTATTTCCTCTTTCTTTTTTTTCTTTGTTTCTTAAATTTGTTTGTCCATATATATTAATCCATAGAAGTTGATTTCATTTGGGTATTACATATTGTTTTCATGTAGTTCTGCTTATTTGCACATTTTACAAATTTGTAAAGTTAGTTTTATGTAATGCCGATCGTCTGGCCATTATTCCTGATGAATGCTAATTGCCTATCATCATCTCACCTTTTTTTTTCGATAAGATAATGGCTTTAGAAAAAAAGAATTGCAAAATCTTAAAGCAATATCTCACCCTTCTTAGGCAGACCTGACAGTTGGATTCCCACCTGTTGTGGAATCGTACACGTCCAGCGTCACGCTAGCAAGGCCTCACCTTGTTCGAGCAGTCTGTACTGAGGGAAAACTTTTTAACCATCTCCTTACTATCTGGAAATTTGCTCCTGGTCTTCCAGGACAGGTAAGGTTTATGCTTTGTTTTTTTCATTCTTTTACTTTTTATATAACTTATTATATTGCTTACCCGGTTTAGATTTGGTGACTGGGCTAGGGAAACATTGATGCAGATTTTTATTTTTGTTATTTCAACAGAGAGATTGGGATAACTGTTAAGAATGATTACAGACACTTTCAGATCATTTGCATTTTGAAAGACTTATACTTAGTTTCTTTGTCAAGGGGAAAATCCACTTGTCAAACCAGTGTTGACTGATAACAGGTCAGCATGTTGGTGATTGGTATTTGGAATGCAAAAAGTCAAGTTGCTCTTAGATTGTCATCACCAACTATATTTTTGTTTCAGTAGAAAACAAAATAAAAAAACAAAACAAAGGCTAGCCAAACCAAACACATAACATGTATAGTTAGTGTTTGATGTTGCAGGTTGCAAATGGTGTTGGTTACTTTGATTTTATAATTTTACCTGAAGATATTTTCTCAATATACTGTAATTCCAATTCATGTTGGATTGCTTCTCAGAGTAAATTTCCTCCTCAGAGAGGTACATCAGTGGACCTTAGTTTTGTAGTGATATGGGATTGTATGCTTCAGAAGCAACTAATTAATTGTTATTACTTATATGTGGGTTCCCTAAGATTGCTAACAATATTTGAAGTTATAGCAAATGCTAACATATTTTAGCAATATGTGGAAAGGCTGTCATGTAGTCTCATCTTTCACTTTGTTGTGAAAGCCACTCTCACTTGTAACTGTTCTTTCAGCCAATTTATTATAGTATAGGACAGAGGAAAGCTGTGTAATACCAGATATTTTTTTTTTTTTTTTTTTTTTTTTTTTTTTTTTTTCCATTCATCTTTTTAAGGGGACTTTCCAAAGCAATGGGGGTCAGAGTTACCAAATTGAGTTAGTGGTCCCAATGTATTGTTACATGTATGTTACATGTAGTTAACTACACTATAGTTGTTACATTCCATCTCAGACCATATCATGGTGTAACAGGATTATCCTTCTAGTACTTATGCTTTTTCCATATGGGATGAAATAAGCCATTAATTGCAGATCAAGTTATAAATGCCCCAATATCTGTTATTTTCATAACAGATATCATTGCATTCGAATGATATCTCCTCAATGACGGTATTAGAAATCTCGGCGTCACTGACTCCTGTGACTCGTGGCAACTGCCCTGCTGTTAGGTCCAGGAGTCTGCTACATGTAGAGGATCTTTCTGCTTGATGCGCTCTATATAGCTGTACCTGACATGATGAGTCAGTTCGCTATGACAGCTACAGGTGTGGCCCGGCAGATACGGGATATACGGTGATTTGCGTGATGTGTGTATGTAGGCCTTATTGAGTACATGCACACACATAATATGCCTTATATTGAGACCTGTAAGTGATTGGTACATGATGATTTATACATTGATTAACATGTGGGCTAATAAAAAAATTATAGAATTCCAAGTATCATTCTTGAACAGGAGTGCAGTGACAGGCTCTACCCACAAGTTACATTCCTGTAACAATATCCCTTCACATTATTTTTAGATGTCAGTTCATAATGTCCAAGGAATGTTTTATTCCATATAGAAATTGATAGGAATGGTATTATGATAATGAACTGAAAAAAAATCATTCCTTTGGTAGATGGTAAAAAAAAATGAGAGGATGATGTGGGGTATAGGGAAAAGTCAGGGGTATCAAGTGAGTTGAGCCCCATGCAGAAGTGATTGAATGACACATAATGTAGCTGTATATTAAATGATAAGTCCTGTCTGAGTGAAATAATGAGCAATAGTAAGAGCAATGTGTGGACTTCCTTTTAATTCTAGAAGATCTTGGAAAAAGTATGGAAACTTATTTTAAAATTTTATAGATTTTGTATAGGCAATAGCAATTTCTCAGACCTCAAATTCAAAATATAAATTCAAAATATATTTGTATTATTCAATATGATTGACTATATATAGATTTTTTTTTTTTTCTTCTCAACTACATTTTTTATTATTGATATACTTAGTTAATTTTTCATGTATTCTAGAAAATTATTTAAGTAATTAATTATTTAATCCGTTCCAGCCAAACACCTGCACCCTAGACTTCTCCGTCTCCTTTGAGTTCCGCTCCATGCTCCACTCCCAGCTGGCCCACGTCTTCTTCAATGAGGTGGTGAGGAAAAATGTAAACTCTTTTCTGGCAGAAGCCCAAAGGCGATATGGCAAGCAGTCCATCCGAGCCCAGCAGCCACGCATCACACAAATGACATGAGGACAGTAATTCTAGGAAACTTAGAAAATATATTGATGTAAGAGAAAAGGAGAGATATTTATTGTTTGCTGCGTAATGATAAGTCTCTGTATAGTTTTCATTGTTATTATTATCTGTATATTTTTTTTTCTTTATATTCCACTTATATAATCCATATTTGAATGACAGAAAGAGTATGATATAACTGATTATTTTTTTAAGGATTTTAAAGATGCTATAATTTTAACATTAGAGTTTGTATGCAAACATATAAATATGTATGTAAACCTAATTTACTTACAATTAAAGCAACCATTTATTTAAACAGTTTTTTATTTGTTATCTTGTAAATGAAGACTGTAGATGAAACCTGTAGATATATTGAACTTTCATCAATAAGGCCAAATGCTGAAATCTAGAATTTTGGTCAAAATATAGGTGGATAATTTTTTTTTTTTTTTTTTCACCTTTCTTTTTTTTCCTTTTTTTTCTTTTTCTTTTTCATTTTTCTTTTTTCTTTTTTCTTTTTTTTTTCTTTTCTTTTCTTTTATGATGTCTCTACAAAATAAAAATCTATGCTATATTTAGATAAATTCCTTCTAGTCATAATAACTTTTGGGATTTCTGTAGAATAAAAAGATATTATCATTACCAGTGTGATGCTCTGATGCCATATTTTGACTTATTACTAGGTATTGTTAATATTGGAAGAGAAACAAGCTCTCTACTTACTGTGTTTGAATTACCACTGATGTTATTGCATTATACTCATTATGTATTTGTTATCTTAGGAGTCTACTTATTATTGTACTATTATTATTATTATTATTATTATTATTATTATTATTATTATTACTGATCATTATTTTCATCGTTATTATTGATATTATTATCATTATTTATTAGTTATATTATTATTATGGCTATTATTATTGTGGTTATCACTATTATAATTGTATTTATTATTATTATTATTATTATCATATTCATTATTATTGTTATTATTAATATTATAGTTATTATATTAACACTTTCTATAAGTATTATTACTACTGTTATTTTGGTTGATATTGCAAACTTCCAAGAACGTTTACTTTTGAATGGCCATGTACATACTCTATGTAAATAAGAAATAAGAGCCGTAACAAGTTTTTGTACACTTTTACTGTAGATTCCCTAAGGCTTTTTTTGCAATCTGCTCAACAGCAGGTGTTGCAGTAAATGAATAAACAAATGGTTAGTGTCATGATATTTTATTCATATTTTTGAGAGCTGCAGATCAGTAGAAACTATTTGAAACCTGTTTCAAGGTGGTATTCACTGATTTATATATTTTTATTTATTTATTTATTTATTTATTTATTTATTTATTTATTTATTTATTTATTTATTTATTTATTTATTTATTTATTTATTTATTTATTTATTTATTTATTTATTTATTTATTTATTTATTTATTTATTTATTTATTTATTTATTTATTTATTTATTTATTTATTTATTTATTTATTTATTTATTTATTTATTTATTTATTTATTTATTTATTTATTTATTTATTTATTTATTTATTTATTTATTTATTTATTTATTTATTTATTTATTTATTTATTTATTTATTTATTTATTTATTTATTTATTTATTTATTTATTTATTTATTTATTTATTTATTTATTTATTTATTTATTTATTTATTTATTTATTTATTTATTTATTTATTTATTTATTTATTTATTTATTTATTTATTTATTTATTTATTTATTTATTTATTTATTTATTTATTTATTTATTTATTTATTTATTTATTTGTTTATGTATTTATTTATTTATTTATTTATTTTTAATTAATTAGTAATATATATTTTTTTACTATTAGTGATCTTTCTAAATAAAGGAAGCTGATTTAAACTTTAAATTAAAAGAATCTAAATTGGTATATATAAGAAAATCAGTTCTCTGATGCAGATTTTTTTTTTTTTTTTCAATATTATTATTTTTTATGGAATGACTTTATGACCAATCTCAGGGTCCTGCATTTAGATGAACCTTATTTATTTAGGTACTATTTTGA